GTTGATATTTTCTGCCAATTTGCGTGTGATTCTCCTAAATCTCTCTATTGAAGAAGCAATCAGTTATCCTATTTCTTAGAAAATCTTGTTTATGCAAATTCACCCGAAATGAACGAATACCCAGCAATGTTATGTCAGGAAATTAATCAAAACCCAGATACACTTTGTATCTATTTACGTTGTTGCCAAGACCATTTCAGAAAAGTATGCTTATACACTGTGGCCCATCAAACGTTGATATTTTCTGCCAATTTGCTTATGTTTCTGGTGAATGTCTCTATTGCAGAATCAATCATTTATCCAATTTCTTCGAATCTCTTCTCCATGCAAGTTCATATCAAATGAACGCAGCTTCACTTTGTATCTATTTAGGCTGTTGCCAAGACCATTTCAGATAAGTACTCTTATACACTGTGGCCCATCTCTCGTTGATACTTTCTGCCAATTTGCTTGTGTTTCTCCTGAATATCTCTATTCAAGAATCAATCAGTTATCTAATTTCTTTCAATCTTTTCTTCATGCAAGTTCATACCAAATGAACGACTGCCCAGCAATGTTATGTCCCTAGATCAATCAAAACCCAGTAATTCTTCGTGGCTCTTTCATCAGCCTAGTTCAGTGTACTGTATCATTTCCATAATAATCAGGCAGACTTGGATAATACGATTAAATGTGACTTCTTTTATGTCGAAAGGCATTACGAATTGATAGCCACCTATCCAATCCTGATTTAGCATCTCTCGATCAATATTCTCCTCGTCTCTAATAGGCTGTATGCCTTAGCGATTGCAGATATTCGCTAAGGCAACACAGCTTTTGGAAAGCCGGAATTTTCTCTTTCCATACCCTCTCATGGCACAAGCAAGTCGGCTTTGCTGAGCGTTTCTGTTGGGGCTTCTCTTCGTCGCTCACGTCCTGTCTGCATCTGTCGCCGCCTTTTGCCCAGCTCGTCCCTATCGCCTGGGCTGCGTGCAGACGCGTCGAGGATGCTGATCACCTCAGCGGCCGGCCTATTGGCCTTGCTCGGACTGCCGTTGCTGTTGTTCGTCTTCCTGACCAACCGCGCCCGGCGCCAGCGGATTCAGCGCCGGCTGGCGCAGAAGCAGCTCGAGCTGGCCGACCAGCAGCTGCGTATTCGAGGCCGGCTCGCCGGGCTCGGCATCTCGACGCGTGAGGCGCACTCAGCAGCGCAGACGCTGTCGGCCGTCAGTCTGCAGCGCCGATTGGCCGACGGCCGACTCACGCCGACGGGCCTGTTGTACGCCTGTCAGGCGCAGACGGTGCACACGCAAGACGAGCTGGCGCTGGGCGGACTGGGCGAGTTCATCTGCGAGGCGGAAAAGTGGGCGCTCGAGCTGGAGGCGCGTGACACGCGCGCCGCGCCGCCTCTTTTCGGGCTGCCGGTCAGCCTGAAAGAGTGCATTCCCGTGGCCGGCCACGACAGCCCCTACGGCCTGGTCGGCCAGACGGGCCGGCCGCACGGCGCCGACTGCGTCGTCACGCGCGTGCTCAAGCGCCAGGGCGCCGTGCCGTTCGCGCTGACCGCCATGCCGCCGACCGGCCTGGCGATGGACAGCTGCAACCCGGTCTACGGCCGCGTGACCAATCCGCACTCGCGCCTCCACTCGTCCGGCGGCAGCTCGGGCGGCGAG